AAAATACATAATGCATGATCTTTAAGATACAAGAATGGAACACATTTAAATAAGTAACCCTCAATCTGCGGTTTAAAGTATCGTGCGAGCTGAAGACGCTAGAAATGTTTCTACTTTTATGCTTAACGGTACTAGCTTTCCTGAAACAACTAGTTTATGGCTTCCAAGCAGCAAGCCAGGCTACCAGTAGCGACCAAGAGGTTAAATTCGGTGCACCTAGATAGTCCTTCTTATATTTCTATACGGACATCTTTTTGGCTTGTGGGTGATAATTCGCATTGGATTGGATTCACTCAGTATCATCACATTAGACGATACATAAGAATAAGGGCTACGTAGACAATCCTAATAATAACGGTATTAGTACCGATGTAAAGTGCAATACATAATGCATACAGGCATATATATATATATAGAACAACAATTTGGGTCAGCTATACAAGGGGGCAGGTCGTGCGATGCCCTATTGCAATGCACTGTGTTGGTCAGCTCGTTTGTCTTTTTTTGTCTGACGGGTTTATTTTGCCCTATGAATAAAGCGATACAACTATTATAATCAGCACGTGGATATTACTATAATTTCAATGAAATTATATCGGTGATCTACGGACTTGTCTTCTATGGAGATTAGCGTTGAGCCGATGATCAACAAAACATCATTGAAAATGACCATCCGGGGGCGCAAGGAAAAATGGCATTATTTCGAAAGAACGGAACGCCGGCCGATACTATAACATGAGCGCGTATGCTTCATTGTGTTCGACATAAGCAAGCCTTAAATCTTTTGCTTCGCGTACAGCACATAAGAGGTTTTGCCCAGATTAAAGGTTTCTTTACGGCAACTAGGTTCGATTCTTTTCCTAGGGTTGCTATCCTATTTTACGTGCAAGGACAAATTACTAAAAATGAAAATAAACTAAAGTCCTGATGTTGAAATAGCCTGCCCCGTAGTAATTCGTTCTGGTAGATTGATTCGTGAATAAGCAAATCGTAGATTATCAGTTCATAACGTGCATAAACCATTGCGGGCTAACAAAAAATAAATCATAAATGTATTTATTAAAATAAATTTATTTAGACAAATAAAATGAGACACAACCGAAGCCAGAAACGGGCGACGGCTGTGAAGTTGCTCCTCGTTATTCGAGCGATGCATCGGATCCACAATCGATTTGATTTACTGTTGTTATTATATTAGTATATCATTTTTATGTCCAGTCTCGATTTTCGCGTCCCTGTGGCTCCCGTTAATGACTGCTGTGAGCTATCAGAACAAAAATCGTTCCCTTAATCAAAAGCGGACAAAAAACAAGCCGAGAGACGACGTCAATATTGATTGCTATTTAAGTCAAACTCTTAAACCCCACCACAATATCATCGCCAATATCAGTAAATCTGTCGTAAGCTAAGAGTCGCCTATAGCATCGGGACAATTTTTCGAACTAGGATCGGTCAACGAACGTTCGACCTGATGGGTTCGGTCGATTCCTTCGGCCGTACTTGACTTCATTGGCAATGTAGCCCCGATCATTGTGCTCCATTTATCGTACGAAATAAGATAGCACTCATAGCCAGATATTCTTCGTACTAGGTCAATCTAGAAATCGAAATATCTGCTCGGAGACGCTATGCAGAAATAGCGACTGGCGGAATTGCTTTGCTTGTTTCCGTGAGGAGAGATTTGGCCGCAGCAGCAGCAGTGCTTGATCGACTGTCATTGCTGACGTTGCGATGCAGGATATTTTCTTTGTGAAGCTGGTCGGAACCAATAAAAAGGACGGCCTAAGGCGGTGCTGATCACTGCTACCAGTATTAGCAATTCGTATCATGGTGGCACTATCGTATCACATATACACTATCGTTAAGTAAATGCAAGGTAATAACACGAATAAGGATGGTATCTATCTAGCGACTGTATTATATGGACCGCTCTACCGACTATTTGCAAGAACCTGAGAACAATTCTGGAAGGCACACTCGAAATGAATTGCGCCAAATTGAAAGGATAAAATAAATATACGGTGTAAATATCCATTAAGAGCGATGATGGCCAGCTGGCTGTATTGTTGCATAATATATTGAGAAAAAAAAAAACAATGTCCGGTGCAAAACTTGGATTTCAATAGGAATAGGCTTTAACTGATGTATTGATTTATCACGAACCACAACTAAATCGTGATACCTTCTAGAACTGAACGGCCTTACGATTATACTTAAGAATCACTATCGTGTAATATTCACTTTGAAAACAAAAACCAAAAATTAAGAAATTTCTAGATAATAATATTTACGTAAAGTAAGCACAGGCCTATTACGCTGATCGTTATGCGGCCCCTTCTGACCTATCTTTACCTATTCTTCTGTGAAATAGAGAAAAAAAAAAAAAAAAGCGGGTTTAAATATTACCGTTTGCCTTAAGTAGATGTCAGTAGAAAGCCAAACGATGCAAGCCTAAGATCATCCCACCTGCTGAAAAACAAACGACACCCAAGGTATACTATTCGCTAAAAGGCTCACGGACGTCCTAAATAACACCAGCTATCTAATTCTGGCTACAGTTGGGACACGCGTACATCAGTCTGCTAGGTGATCAAAGCTATGAAATCTACTTAGCGCGCCAGGCAGAAGCATGGCCGAAAGGCCTGCAGAATATCATCTCTCGTTGGACTGCATACAGAAGCCGCAGTATTTCAGCTCACTCTCACTTTAATTTTAAAGTGCTATCTTTTATTAAACATGTTGAAATGCTTTAGCCAAAAGAACAAGTGGCCGATTCCTAGAGGGGCAAACTTTTTTTCCAAAACGAGTTTTCGTATAGTGGTCTCCGGTTCGATAAAGAGCATTGCGAAAGCCTCTCTTCCTCAGCTCGTCGTCATGTCCTTTTATTAGTTCTACAACTATCGTTTACAAAAATTGTGTATCTGTACATCATGTCAGACGTGCGCGAGTTTCCCAGTTGCTAAATTAGGTCGAAAGGTTTCGAGCTCGAACCACTCATGTTCTGGGTGTCGGTAACATGAAGTACAATGTACGTTTATCGTTAAACCCAGTCACAGTCCGTCTGCGCTGTACACGTAGCGCTTCTGGCGTACAATTACAATGGTGAGACGTAATATAATAGATGCATCTTTCTATGAAACATAATATCGACGCGTGGACAAAGTGAAGTATACGCAACTCAGGTAGATTGGACATTTCAACATAATGGAGCTATCAAGCAGCGTGAACTTCATCTGCAGCCTGGCACCTACCTTAACCCATACTTCAAAAGCACCTTTCATTAAATAACAACATATTGTCTTGGCGCGTTTGAAACATGCTTTACTACTACAACTACCCGTGTGATACAGCCGTAGAATAACAAGATCGCCGACGTTACCTCTACAACGGCCATTATATATATATATATATATATATGTATATAGCGAGTTCTATATAATCCTTGATTCTCTTCTATCATTTAATTTAAAGCCACTTTATTGTTTATTGGTTGCAACCTTTGGTAGCATATCGAATGTCCTATCAAGGTCATTCCTGTGGCGTACAAAGAACGTCTTGCAGATGTTTGTTCCTGTCATGTGGAAACTAAAGATCGCACCTCTATTTTACAAATTGTAGAGTTATGTTTGTTTGAATGCATGCTTCGGCGAAAATTTGCTAAAATCATCACAAAAAAAAAAGGCGATTCTCTGCGAGCTGGCCAAGACTTTGAGCCGCGTAATTGAGTTCAAAACGGTTACACTTAGCTGCATCATTAAAGCCATGTCGCACGTAACTAATAGCTATAAATATATAGACAGCTATTTGTTCGGATTCAAACATTATCGCTTCATTTTGTTGTTCACTAACGATAAGGAACTAGCTGTTGACACTTTTTTCCTATAATGTTTCCAGACAGGACGGCCAAAGCCGTACCGCTTACGTCTTCCCGTCTGCTTTTGTGCATATCTTTAGCGGTGTATCTTAGCGGTGTACGAAAGATAATTGACGGGCCACATAAATATTCAACGGAGCAGCAGTTACTCATGTCATCACCAAATTATCATATAGATAAGAGATTTACTGTTTGTTTTTCTATCCACTCCGCTTGCTTCGTTAGCCCGCAAAAAATTACATCTATTTTCGTTTTTTTTTTTTTTTTTTTCTGATATCGGACGCTGACGACTTATTATGCTTCTTCCTTATCTCTCAGATTAATTAGGTGGTCGATCAACTATACCAATCGATTCATTTCGGTATTATCGTCATTGACAAAATTGTTGCATTTATACTGTTTCATGCTATTTAGTACTACTTCTCGTCTTATAGCCTTTCATTCTCTAATTTTTGTTCGTTTTTTAACGATCGCATACCAGTTTATCACAGCCCGTCGTTGACCAATGAACTACGCGGAAAAGGCAAGGAGGGACTGTGGCAGACTACTCCATTGCGATTTGTATCGCGATCCACCCCGATTAGTAGACAGACATGCGATCGCGTGGACCTCGCGTCCGAATTCCAGATGGCTCCCGCCGCCAGCTTCGTGAACTTGGTTCGGCGAAAAAGACCAACGGACCGACCAAGCAACCAGCCATTCAGTGAAGCTGGGCCGCGTCTGCGTCAATCATCATTGTCTTCAGCAACGTTTGGCATTTACAGTAATGGCGAATTGCTACGATCAATTCGTAGCAACGCTGCGCTGACGAAACAGCTACATATCGAGCAGAAAAACAATTCTCTTTACCTGGTCGATAGCTCTATCGCGCTAGCCAAACGTACAGGGATATATACACCATGTAATCCAAGGGCAGATGGTTGTTGCGCGTCGGCGTGGTGCAGGTTTAGTGGCGCCATCTACAGAGGGGACCGCGAAACTTATCGACAAATGTTTCCCCGCTACTCTTGCCTACGATAAGCTACTCTTTCCTACGGCAAAGACCTCGATACTCCCTTTCGATTGAAAAATGTGATTCAGATGCGTACGGCTATGAACGGTTGTGGTTCGCTGTCAACATGAAGACCTGGGAGAAGTTTCTTTTTGTCTCAGGTCGCGTTGGGTTGTGTTATACCAGGAACAGTCTTGTTCATAAAGAGAGCCTTTGTGTTCTTCAATAAGTTAGACAAGAGGTTACCCGAAGTCGCGCCTCTCGACGCTGGCCAACCCGAACAGTCGACTGACTACCAAAGGCAGACTAATAATGCTGATAACATACATGAATATTCTGTAGGTCGTACAAAAAAGATCGTTCGGTATAAGATGCAAGCAGACAACATCCACCGCGAGCGCAATAGTAAAATGTGCAGTAAGATTTGTGTTATACAACGAATATGTGAAACAAAGGATAAACGTATTCAAATGTAGGTCTTTTATTTGGGTTCTTTTACCGGTGAAACCTTTTTAACGCTTCTCGTGAGTTGTGATAGCTGATTAACGCCGTTTCCCTTTTTTAAAACGAAGTGCTTCGGCCGTTGCCAGGCCAGTGCCAAGTTAAACGTGTTTCTATCTTTACGTATACCCTAAAGTATTGTTTAGACTTAATAGCGACTAATTACGGGGATGCAGTCAAGATTTCGGGGCAGATCGTTTATGCCATATCGCAAAAGTGCTGATAACATGTCATATTACGATACAAAACACAATAAATGATTCTATTGTATCGCTGTACACATACTGATGTGTACAGGCAAAACAACTTAACGATCTTGAATGAAATCATGTAGAAGCGTCCGTTTGAAATTTCAGTAAAATGCAATCTTTTGCCAGTTTTTTTTTTTTTTTTTACCAGTAAACCGTAAGCGATAGCTCCCGATTAACGCCGCAAAATACAAGTTGATCCGGTGATTCGCAGCTGTCAGTGACGCTGTGGCCAGAAGCGACTATAACGGTTACGCGTCCTTGCATGCAAGCTAAATAAATAAGTTCTTTCATCAGTCGAAGGACATTTTTAACCTAGAGCATCAACATTCAAGCCCCTACTAATGCTTAATCGCTGCCCCTTGATGAGCGTGCAGCCACTTGTGTCCATCGACGAACGTCAGAGAAAGTCAAGTGACGCTACAAGTTGTTAGACACTACCTACCGGCAGGGTCGACGGCAGCTGTAAAGCGTTATACTGTAAATCCGCCAATGGTCTCTACTGACTATCGTCAGTGGCGGAGCAACACGACCGTCAATTCGTTGAGAAAACACACGTCAAAGTCGGACTAGCTATTTCGGGGTTTGCCAATGTGTTACAAAGCTTACCCGTTCGTTATGGCTTCTATCTTTTGAGCGGTTCCGTTTTTACTTTAACACATATGTATGGAGGAAATACAGTACAAGTTCGACACTAATTGAGTTTAATCACAAAGTACGGATAAAAAATACCTACCTCTTGATGTAAACGCAACAGTATTGTGTAGACCATATTGTAAAATATCGATTAGTTATTTGGGTAAACGTAACGCACAGGTGCTGATCTGTAACAACACGCCAGCAGCAAGACATACCGACTGCAACATTTAGGTTTGTCTTTTCGCTTGTGCCTGATTCTTGTGTCGTTTATTATAAAAGTGTTTAGCTTATTGTCATTTAAATCGGCTGTAAATTTTTTTTGTTTGCGTTTGGACTCTGGTCCATCGATGTAAGTAAGTCTTAAGAGTTAGTTTTTCCTATATACTTGTATAGTGTAAATAGGGGTCGCAATGATTTTTCTTCCAGAAAGAGTCATCGTTTCACCCCGGTCGTAGCTCGCTGCTCGTTAGATCCCGTAGCATTACACGATAAAACCGTTTAATGGCTTCATTAACACCGTGAACTAATGTCACTTAACGGCCAATGATGATTACATTGTAGCCATAATTTTAGATAGATACGAAGCCTTCGAATAGTTTTTTTTTCCATTGCGATCCAATCAATCATTTCTTCGTACACGTTATTATAGGTATTTCTGAAATATTTATTACATCGCTTTTATTTAAAAACAATAGACATATCAATAGCCGCAAGGACAGTTTTTGCTGTTCAGACCGAAACAACTTCTCTGTCTAGTATCGCTCAACAGCGGTATCGCACATGGGATGCTCTCTCTCATTTACATTAGGCTGAAAAAAAGCTACCCCCGTGACAGGTTAATGAGTAATGAACGTATCTGCTTACTTATAGAATTACGTGCTCATCCAAATCCCTATATAAATACGGTTGATTTTATGCTGAAAGACAGCTCTCTGATGGGGTGCCTAACGGCAATGCCGGACATAAAACTGGAAATGGGATACAGTACGTTTGTGATTGAAGGTCCGTAAGGTACTAGTATTTTTGCGCCAGTCTGGGCTTCGCAGGGCTTGGAGAAGCCCACAACTAACATCGTTTGTCCGCTACTGGTCAGCGGCTGGTAGAGCTAAGCAAATCTGTTCTCATTCATGACTGTGTGCATAAGCTTCGATACTATCTATTTAACAGGTTATAATCGGAGGCAGACTATTCATTCCCGAGGTAAAAAATACACAAACTCGTTCTTGGTCAACATCATCGCACGGACATTAGCGAAAAAATTCAAATATAAGGCTAGAAAATCAACGTATCTGATTGCACGACAGAATCGCTACCACGCAAAAAGGAACTTTTCGGCCTGTTGTGTATCTTAACAATTAAAAATAATCTGTCCCTTCAATATAACACAGGTCAGCGTAAAACTTAACATAAGGCATCAACATTATGTCGAGCTTATTTCAATATATGTGTGTAACAATTTTATGTTTTAAATTACACGTTATATGTCTGTATGGCTTTTTTCGTTCTAACATAAAAATATATAAACTAACTTTGGGACAGTTGAGGTGGTGTAAATTCGAAATTGAATCAAGGCTAAACGCTGGAACTGGACATTATAGGTTCGAGGCTGCGCGTAAACGAGTTTTTTTTTTCGTCGTCCGAGACAATGTTTTTAATGGCATTATTGGACTTGAATCGTTTTCATAGAAAAAAAAGTTTATACAAAAAAACTCATTCTTCCACTGTGCCCATGGAATACACACAGAGCTCGACAAGTTTTTATTACTGGGTTGATTTTTTAGTGAACAACAAGCTCTAGAAATATATTTCTCCGAAGAGTTGCATGCAACATGTGTAAAAAATTTAAATTAATATTTGTTTGCAGTGACTTAGGAATTGCCATCAGACCACTCCTCAACGCAACGATTTTGATGGATGAGGTTTAAGTCAAATCCTCAAAAAAGCGAAAAATGAAAATTCCAGTGCTTTCCTTCGCGTCCTGGTAACACTTTGGGGACAGGTATCTCCTTCAACGACTTCTGTCAGAAGATGGCGTTTCTGGGATGTTGATAAGAGTATCGATTGCTCACAAAGCTGAACGCCGCTTTAACTAAGAACGGGCACAGAAGTAGAATCTTTCATGCCGATAACAACAGCGTTGACGATACAAGAGTCCTGTCTCCAATAAGATTCCTTTTACTAGTTTAAATCGAAACGGGCGAAAACATCGATTGCCGTCCACCCATTCAATTAGAAGAGTGATAGCAAATAATAATTGGCCCTAGTGAACAATTAACGCCTAAAGTACATCCATAGTAAGTTGAAGTTGCGTGAACATTGGGCGTTAGTTGTACTTAGCTGAACAAAGTGACCGTTTTATATGTTTAACAATCGAACAAATTCATTTCTCTATGCCTTGAAAGAGAATCAACAAGCCAACCATGTGAAAAGAATGATAGCCGTGTTTTTTTGTTGATAAAATTCTGATAAAATAAAATGCCAATATCAGTAAGCAGGAACAAAGATGACATCATCATTTGTCATAAACACGAACGTTGCAAGTTTTTATGAAGTATATCAGAAGTTTCGGATAAGAAAATATCACTGACACCTTGTTGACAATTTGCTTCAAGTGACCGAAACACGACTCCATGATGTGATTGCTACATGCGCTTTGTCTGTACTTATAATATTCACAGCTCAAGATGGTTAAGGCAGGAACTATTCTCGATGTGCACTATTTGGCACAAATTATGGACGACATCGAAATTAAATTTGGCGCCAAGCCAGGCAGCGGACGAACTAGAGCTAGAAACTAAAAAGAAAACAAAGTTTCTTTTCAAAGGCATTACTGAGTCGCTATGGCATGCGTGGAACTGTCGACGGATTGGATCTCAGTAATAGCTGTGTGATTCACTAAATAGGCCGACTAATAAAGCATTCACGCAGAGATTCTTGTTTTGATCGTTAGTTTGATTATTTAGTAATCAATTGTGTTGTGTCAGTCAGCTGAAAACATTTGGACCTGTTATTTTGCATAGGCCTATTTCACCTGAAATTTACTCAATCGATACATCAATTAATATACTTTTCAATGTAACCCCCGGAATTAGTACTTCTCTGCGGAAAAGGGTATGTCAGTACTGAACAATTTCAAGATATCGAGCTACTATTACTGCGTGAGTGTTATCTAATGGCAGGCTTCGTGACTAAAATCTAACTTTTTTCAAACAAGTATTCGATAGTGATTGCTCTGTCAGTCGTAACGACTTTCTGAGGTTATTTAGGTAGTGATCGACGCTGCAGAACCATCATGTGGGGGGTAAAAAGTGATCTTCTACGCCGACGATAGCTATTTATTATACATATAGCAGATTTTCTTTCAGAGATATAACCATACCTCCGAAAAAAAAAAACTGTCATTTGTATAACTATAGAAATGGCTGAAAAAACAGTAGCCATAAGAGGCCTAGCAAAAATCAATTATGGTAGTGTAATAATAAACTGTATTAATAAGATGCACTGTATGTGAGGACGGACGATTTCTATAATAAGAGTAATAATAATGCAGTGGATATTAATTTGGGAGAATTTTTATACTTAATATGAAAAATCCAAGGAGAATACAACTATTTTTTAGCATGATATGATCGGAAGTGGCAACAAGTGGGGTAGATTGGTTCGATCTTGATACCATTCGAAATCCGCTAAATCGATATGCTATACACACTTCTCTAAGTCAATTCAGGTTTTAATGATCAAAAAAGGCACAAGCGACGGTGGTAGGGTTACTTTGTCCATAGAAATATTATGTTGGCAAACAGCATTATGATCATAGCCGAGGGTACTGATGTGCTCTCCAGTTTCCTGTTGAAATTTCGCCCCCTAATCAGTACACACTTTACCGTTGCTGCTGGTGTGGAAGCAATCGAAAAGCATCCCAGCTAGTTAGTACACACATTACTTAATTTCACTACTGATGTAATGATAGCGATTGCCCTAACTGTTACTGTAAAGAAAGAGATGAACATAAGTCGACGTTATTAACATGACGTTCGAAGTTGCGAGTGCTTAAGATGGCTAAGCTTTGGCAGGAAATGCCCCGCCAAATATGCTTCACTGGCCAAGTGGTCGAAAATCTACATTAGAAAAGAAGGTTATTTCGGCAGCTTACCAAAAGCGACTGTTCAGTGATATAATGACGGCGGTTATCAGGGGCGTCGTAGGGGAATTGCCAGTACATCACGGAAATTTGAAGAAAAATGCTGTAGAAGTGCACACAGGTATACACACCAGGGTTGGTCACCTGGACCCACCTTGTTAAGATTTTTATTAATAGAATTCTATTTACGTAGCTCTATCGAAATATCATATTATTAATCATTACCAGTATTAGGCGTAAGCTATCGAGGCACACTAACAAAACGCGCCAGACACTTCTTGCAAATCAGAAGAAGTCAGCTTTTCAGGACACCTCATCCAGTGTGGCGTCGCAGTGATGCGACGTTGGCAGCGGTAGCCGCGCACAATGAATTCACACGGTAATGAAATGATCAATAGTTAACGCTTTGATACACACGGATTTTAGCTTGGCTTTTTTCGTCACCGTTTATGCTAACTACTTGGGGTCGTGTGTATCCAATATGACACGATAATGTATGCAAATTTTTTTAGTAAAGAAGCAGAACAAATCTAATCTGCTGCTAATGTTGCCGGCTTCTGCGAATGCCTTCATCAGACAATGGAGTTACTCGCTGTTTTACAGCCAGGCGTATAGTCCTGCTGTTAACTACTTCTCCGGCTAAGCTGTGCTGTGCATACGCACACTGACGTCTATTAAGGCTAATGCAATCAGCATCTGACAAATAGAAATAAATTCGACTTCTGATTAAAGTTCAGAAAAGCATCCGCCTAAGCGACGCCTGAATGGCTCAGGGATAGTCGCAATGGCGGTATCCGAGTATCGCCCGGGAGACGTGACGAGAGAGAAACAGGAGGGAACGCAGCGACGAGGCAGAACGAATGACCCAATAGAACAAAAAAAAAACAACTAGAGAGAAGAAACGTTGCACTGGCTAAATTCTAGCTGAGAACTAGAATACGTTCAGTAAGAATATAAACACCGTGATTAACAAAGGCGCGACATCATTGAAACGAAAGACGTAAATCGATAATCGTAGAAATAACCACGAGTTTCCATCCGTCACTTGCAGCTTTGAATGGTCTACAGTGGCCTTGACAAGCTTGCAGTCACCTCTACCTCTTAATTGTCACACAAACTTGATAGAACAAGTAGAGGTAACTGCAGTTAAAAAATGAAAAAGGTAAGCGATTTTTTCTGTTATAATTTCCTATGAAAAGGCTTCGCCTTGCGGCTTTTTTGGTACTATAAATACATCAATATTTATTAGTATATAAGGTCACGCAAGCTAATGCCAACTGACACCGATCTTTCAGCGTTTATACTGAATGCTCTGAAGCCGCTTGTATACAGATCATTTAATAGGCTCTAGTGCGTTCGATTTATAAATTCTCATGGCTGTTAACGTAAAAAAGGCTAAATAAAGTTCGAATTAAGTTAGATTGAAAAGGCGTGTATCTGTAATTTACATATAAACTGATATATTATGTGGATCCGTTATTTTATTGGTATTCAGTTTTAAAGTTTTCAAGATGTCACTAGTATTCTACAGTAGTTCCAGATGACTCGCAGTTACTTAAAGGTCATTGAAAGGCAGAGTTGATTTTCTTTGGATTGAACCGTGTTTTCGCGCGCCCAACGGAGGAGGTTTGTAGGCGTATTTGAGTTAAGAAGGAAACGGGATTAGCAATCTGGTGTTGAATAAACCAATGAGCTAATTACAATACAAAAAATCTATTTCTAGGATTATCTACCTTCGAGCTACGGTTTTGTCACATCGTATACTGCTGCCTGTTTTGCTCTGCGGAAACAAGTATGGCCAGCACTAAGAAGAGGTATGGCGTAATTACAGCATCGTGTAATTCTATTTTCGTAGTCGCGCTCTACTAAGAACTTTAAGCCTTGTAGTTAAATCATGTTACTGACACTTATCTCATTTGGAGTAAAGCCAAGATCTGACTCGTCCTGCTACGATTGTTGTTGCGTCGATGAAGAAACCAGAGGTGTTTCATTAACTTAGCACACGCTCCTATAGACATGCATTTATTTATAAAAAAAAATGTAGTGGGGTCTAGAATGATTCCGTATAGTAACTTCGAGTAACTTACCACTTGAAGGTGTGCCGATATTTTTAGGTTACTATGGCTTAAAAAGTCCAGGGCAGGGACAATGCAAACGAAGCACAGCTTACATGTATTTTGAATGCATATTTATATATTTATTGTGTCTCAGCAAGTATATCCAAGTGTCATAACATTCGATAGCACTTCACAGATTATAGCGGTACACAAAATAAGACGTTCCATTCACACAGCAATAGCAGCAAAGGTGTACATCTCTTCAGCAGCAAAACAAGTAAACTGTGGCATGAAAGACCGCACTCAGATGACCCTCAAAATAGGCTCGTAAGTGGGCGCTGTTAAGAACTGTTTCGTATCCAATCAGCAGCTTCGAACGCGCCTACATGTGGGCACTTCTAAACCGGCTTTCTTCGAAGAGTCGGCTATGTTTCAGCTGAGCATTATTTTGAACGGAATGTTCTTTGTGAAAAAAACAATCAGATTTTGAGTGACTATAGTACAGTCCAACTGCAACGTCGACTCTCACTAAAAGGCTCCTCATTAACTTAATCCTGTCCTCAGGACGACAGACTTGGGTGTTTCGCATTGATGTTTAACTAAGCACACATAAGCGCACGTTAAGCACAGTTTGAAAAACGTTAGGGCCAACAACACACATAATCGATCCGAATCAGAACACGTCGTGTTTTTCAGTATGTGTACTGTCTTGTTGGCGATATGAATCGCTCACAATTGGTAAATTCGAATCCTCAAACCTAGCTGCCATCGTTAAAATACCAAACCGGCCCAAAAATGAAAACGGTTCAACTAGAAGACAGATAGCGGCGCCATGGAGCGCCGCTTATCGCCATGCATTGACGTATATCTACAAAATGTTGTCAATGTTACTTGAAGATCTATTGGCAACGAGGCAAAACCGATACCAATCGCTTTCGTTGTTACTGGTGCGCCAGCATTCGTGTGTGTTAGGACTGCTAGGTGCCGCTCAGATTGTCGAAGTGCAGTGCGCGAAGCTTCATCACCGTGGCGATCGATGGGAACCACGAGCCTTCTGCGGGACGCGGGTTGACACGGCGGCGAGGGTGACCGTGGCTTCCCTCTTCCTTACGCAGAAGCCTGCGGGGGCATCGCCATGATGCGGATCGGCCCTGAGGCTTGGGCACAAGCACTGTTGTGCATGAGCCCAATATGCATTCTGATGCTTAACTGTCGGCTGTTTTTTTACAGGGGTATAGTGCGAGCAGACATCTTTTATATGTATAGTTAAGTCCGTGCAATTTTGAGATCATCAAATCACGGCTGGTCATAATTTATTATGTGGAACAGGCATAGTTTCTATGTATTATATATATTGAGCCTTTTACGCCCTTAGGAATCAAGTTTGCCCTTTATGGGTTACTTTTTTTTGCGATAAGGCTTGAGAGACATTTTGCTACCAGCGGCGTTAGCCGTCAGTGGACTGGGAGTTCCTAGCGGTAAATTGGATAAACGATTTTGCTTCCTCTGTACTGCTTTTGCAGGCCACAGGAGCACGTAGAAACACAGCGGGCAGTTTTTAATCCGTGGGTTTGCTCCTGCAGTGGATCTACCAGCACCACTTCTACCCGTAATGTTAATATACACCCGAAATCATCGTACATTCCAATAAAACTGAGCAGATCGCCCATTTTCTTTTTTTTGCTGTCGTCGGGCGCTTCACCACACATCCGTACACGTCCAGGGATGTAACAGGCGGCTGGCCCATACATATGTATATATGGTGCAAGCGGTTGTCACGTAGGCGGTGCGTCGACGTGAATATGTGAGCATAGAAACGATAGTTGTTGTATTGGTATTACATCTTGTATCCTGCGTATTTTGGCCTACCGTCGTCAAGACTAACAGCAACATCTTATGTATATATACATACATATATAAACTTGTGGGCAAATTGGTGCATCGATAGATGGCACCGGCATTTTTCAGCAACAGCATTATTGCTTATTACTGTTTTGTCGCCCCCCCTCACTAATAAGACCATTACAATTTCGTTTTGTCCTGCCGCTGCTGCAGCGACAAGTAGTGTCACCAGCGACAGAGTTGTGCACGTTAAGAGCATGGTCCTGATGCTGAAGTCTTGAGCTGAAAAATCGTAAAAGACACGTCGTCCACTATCCACGAACCGATTCGGCCAGTGGCTGTTAGCGGGGCTGTCGCTGGCGGGCGGATGGATATTCGGTTGACTGTAGCTAGCGACGTCTGACGGATGGCCAACCAGTACAACGTCGTTCATCCTGTTGGTAGCTCCTGTTCGCAGCGTCCCTGCATCTGGACGCACGGTGACACAGTATTACTGGGCGGACCCGACTGCGATACTTGGAGAGATGGGAATTGTATTATTAGTATTACATATTTGTAATGATAGCAGTAGCGACAACACTCGTATATCGAATTCCGCTGGGCGGGTATGACGCTTTGCCGCCAAATGAAACGCTGATTTAGCAGGCTACGTTCCATTGCAGCACAGGTGGTCCAAGTGGAAGAGGTCTTTTCTATAAGATGGGATCCTTCGGCGACGCATCGGGCGTTTGTTGGTTGGACATTTCAATGGATTGATCGCTCGTCGATTCGTCGTCTGCGTCTCGTACGTCGCATATCCCATCCATCCATCCATCCATCCATCCATCCATCGATCGATCGATCGATCGATCGAGTAAAGAACTTGTGACGTCCACCTTTTGTCGCTTAATACTGTCGACACATTCTCGACACGTAGTCAGCGCCGAAATGATATGGGCGACGACGATACCGGCGATACATTCTGTCCAGACCTCTATATAAACGATTGGTGGATACATCATCATCATTATTATGATTAGTATCAGACTTTCATGCACTCGTAACGTGAAGCTACCGTCCTGTAAAAAAAGCAAATGACAGTAAAAAAAATCACGGCAGCTTTGCACGGCGATGAAACTGCCGAGTTCTGTTATGCTGTCGGGACCGGCGGACAGAAGGTCGGACGACGTGGGCATGAAGAATCGAAAATTCTTCTTGAAGTCCTGGACCATAGACAAGATGCAGGTCGATCAGAGCAACATGATCAACATTGCCGTACGCTGATCATTACTGCCGTTTTTCGTCTATGTTAGCGCTTCGTCTCCTATCATGCTGATCAAGCCTAAATTGTTGGGATTTAAGATAGATGGCCGCTGGTTTTAAAAGGTGTTGATCATTTGGAAGAAGGTAAGAGTACGCAGAGTGTTGACATAGCGGGACCTCAACACTAGAATCAGTGTTGCTGAAGCAACCTGATGAGAAAGATGAAGATTATCGCCAACTGGTAGGGACGGGCAAAAGACTTCCCTGTTAAAAATGCAGATAACAAAAAATCCGATCTCGTCAGATTGGCGCTCACGTTCAACGGATATATCAAGTTAGTTTCGACGTCTTTAACGTGCGTAAAGCATATACGAAACAAGTACACAGTGTCCTACAAGCTACACGCGAGTAGATGGGGCTATATTTGATAGAGCTAATTTTAACGCTATTTACGGGCTTGTCATGATAATGGCGATTGAAGTAATCTACCGTAGTAAATTTATCAGAAAGATAAACAGAGTAAGTAGGACGGAGTGCCATTACTGCTTCCTTGGAATAAAAGTGTATCAATACAACTAGAGAGAAACTATAGAGGCAGAATAGATCAAATTTTAGCCCACAAGCTAGCAGCGGATCAACGCTGCGAGCTTACTTATTTCGACAATGAGTAACTCCATGTGGACTATGAAAATTGATGATTCAAATATAGATAGCGTATACTGATACTAATAATGTACTAAATGTACCGGGCAGGGTTACTTTATACACTCGCTTCTGCATGAATAAGCGTCTTCAATTCATTTCAACGTAGATTCTTGAATATTTAGACTAATTGGCAAAACGACTCTTCGCTAGAAATATACTAAATATAAAAAACAATATTTCGATGCTGGAGCAAACAATTACTAGGGAATAATCTATTGTGATAACATAATCATAGCACTAAAATACGTACGTTTATTACAATCCCCTTCTATAATCCAGATCCGTGTTCTCGAGCTATTGGAAAGGCGCAAAGCTCTATCACAACGACAAAATTCATCAAACACTTGTTAGAAGAAGACATACGAAATGCTGGTCCTAGCAATGTTAGGTTACCGTTGCTTTCAACACTTATACAGCTTTGAGTTAACGCGTTCGATCCAAATTCTGTACTTATTTAGCTCGTCGTAACTAAAATACGTTTCATACTATATTATGCTACCTGTAAGGGTACATCTACAGCCAGGGGTAATGACTTCGACTTAGTACCAACATGTATAATCGGACGGGCAACAGGACAGATCGTGTTGATCGCTGCTATGTTGCAATACACCGTTCACATCACGGTCTTCATTATCAGCATTCGATAGTTTTCTTTATTGGTCTCATAGAATGATCGTTTCTAAGCTAACAAGAGCTTACTTCGTTTAAACGGTCAGTTCACGTCTATATATGCGCGTCGCAGTATGATAGTTTACCGAGGGGCGTTAGAACCATTGTACGGTGACAAGTATTAACCAGTTGCTGCCGCTGCTGCCATTGTTGTTGCTGTTGTGGTTAGCGGCAAATATGAAGCGCATACACAGACACACACACACACACACACGCGCATAACGTCATAAACACAGGCTCTGTGCACCAGCTGTGAGTGGGGATGCACATCCGGTGGCCAATGTCCGAAAGTGTCGCTTGGCGATGGACACACGGATGGATGACTACGACGACAACAACAACAACAACAACAACAACAACAACGCCGCCAGCAGCGAAAGTCTAACCGAAGCAAGTCGGAAAGGACAAGCTTTCAGTGGCACCGACGTCGGCGGCTATTACTGGTCGAAGAGCTACGTTCGACAGTGCCTCTTTCTCCAATCGCAGAATGCATCACTTTTATACGTATACAGGCGTGTACATACAAACGGCGTGACACACACACATACACACCCACCGACCGACCGACAGACAGACAGGCTGACTTCGTGGCACCCCCAAAACGCATACAGCGATAGATTTCTACAATTTTTTTTAATCAGCAAAACGCAAGCAACTATCAATAGCTAGTTATTGCTGACTTGTCATCTGCGTTTATCCCCTGCGTGTCGGCGAATACCTGACGACGACACTGGTAGGCGGCAAACGGTGCAGGATTTTTGTATTGCGTTCGGGTTGACAGCTACCTGATTGCGGTCCGGTTTTTGACGCCCCAGAAATGACTAGGCACGCCATACACTGGAAATAACCATATGCGCCGTTACCATATATGTCTACAGGTGTGTGTGTATTCGCAGCTCTCTGCTTGCCTGAAAAAAGATCGCGTTCGGCTAAGTTGAGCATCTGAAGATGCGACAACAGCAACAGTAGCAGCTGCGACGTTTAGGGCAGGGCTGTCAGTGTGCCAATTGCTGTAGAAAAACGAGACGACGATAGCGTCCCAGTCGGTAGAAAAAGACGCCTGACCATCTTGGCGAAATGAGATATAATACAAAAACCAGCGGCTTCAACGGTGAAAACGAGCCGATAGGGCATAAATGAGGTGGAACAATCTTCCAATTCTATTACGTCATTTGTAACGATTGGTCATGTGCATGTGTGCTTGGATGCCCGTCTATCTGTCTGTTTGACTATTCGTGTACCCATGTGTGTGTCTGTCAATGTTGTGACAAGATGGCACACAATTGATGATAATAGAAGTCGTATTTAAATTGTGAAACGTCACGCCAAAGGCGCATATGAATAGATGAGGCAACAAGGCAGATGGTTTATTTATGATGGTAAACTAATATCTATTCTCGGCTTATGTTTTTTGGCCTATACCTAAAATACCTCTAGGTCCTTTTTGTCGTGTTATTATGGCCCTTTTTTTCTAGCCGCTTGTCCGCCCACCGCCCCGGGTCCATACCTTTTTAGAATAGGTAACGTATATAGTACTTCGATACACGTATGAGGCCACCATTGTGCAAAATCAGGAATTGAATGTACAATATATTTGTATTGTGTGTGTGTGTGTGTACGTGCCTCTTCTACATAGTCCAAATTGATGGTCGTATTATACTGATTTGAACTTAACCGCCCAAGCGGCATATGTTGGTCACAGTTCGCCTCGAGGTAAAAATCTGTGCAAGAAAATGTCTATTTAAATTACGGTCGCGTCGACGACAAAAAGCAAATAGCGCCTCATCGATTGACCGACCGTCCCCTC